TAAATTGGTATGGTTGGACGGCAGTGAAGCATTAGTGACAACACTGATGTTGCTGTCATTGATGATGATGATGATGATGATGATGATGATGATTATTATAAAACGAGCTTTGGTTCTGAGGCGACTGTCGAACACCTGAAAACGTCTTAGTTCCGCTGCCCGAACAGGCAAATTCTCAATAGAACAAAACAACCCTCACCGTAGCTTGACACACCCGTCCCTTGAAATTCAAGGATGCATCACTTTGACGCCATAGATTCCTCAAACTAGCGAACGTGGCCCGAGGCTTACAGATTCGTACATTGACCTCATCTGTCTCACTACAAGCATAACCAATACAACTTTCGAGATAAGTAAAACGCTCCACAAGTTCCAATACCTCTCTCTCCCGATTATTAGTCGCGTGTTCAGTGACTGAATGTCCAGGAGCATGACTTTACACTTTGTGGGTGCAAAGTGCATGCCCAAGGACAGGCAAGTTCGTCAAAAAACTGAGCCTTTTTCTTGTGTCGTCTGTGTACTCCAGATCGACAAATCTTTATTCACAGGCTATTTGAACACCAGGGTTTTGGAGACCTTCCAGCGTTCGCCTCACTGTCTCTTCGATCACGAATTTAAAGAGGAACGGAGAGAGAGAGAGCATCCCCGACGGACACCGCGTTGTGTACGGGAGCTTTTGGAGAGCTCTCTGTATACTCTCACATGTCCGGAAGTCTGAGAATACGAAGAACGTATTATTTTCAAGCTTCCGGGATATTCCTTGGTGGGCAAGCGTGTCGAGAAGAACAGACCGATCAACCGAGTCGAATGCGCCTTGGAATATTATAGGAATACTATAAAAGTGGATCGTTTGTGCGTATGGCGTTCTTCTGGCACCTGGCGGAGTATGAAGATTTGTTCAGCGCAACCCCTACCAGGCCGGAATCCCGCCTGCTGTTCTCGAGTCATTATCTCATGAGCCACCGTAATGCGACGAAGCCAACAGCTCGTTACGAATGGAGTCAAGCTGATCCCCCTGTGGTTAGCATACTCACTTTGAAAATGGGCACTATCACAGACTCCCTCCAGTTGTTGGGAACATGTTCCTTTTCTCAAATGCAAGCAAACCGATCAGACAAGCGTTGATTGAAGACTTCATCCTCGTCTTTGAACAATGCGGGTGAGAGTCCATCCAGACCAGGAGCTCGGTGGCGCTTGAGAGAACATATGCAATCGCAAACTTCCGAGGCTGTCGGTGGCTCCACATTCACCGCTCAGGGTTCTACTTCATCCGTGGGCTCTAGATGAGTGCCAGCTGGTGGCCACGACAGTTGTTGTTCGAAGTACTCAGCCCACCGGTCGAGGCATTCTTCTTTATTCAAGATGGTCGTTCCAGTCTGATGCTTGAGTTTCGCTCACAGGTGGTTTCCGGGGGCCGGTCGCACGGATCAACTGAAATGATCTTCGGGCATTACCGGCTCTCTGTGTTCACCATACTTAACGGTCGGCTCGCACGCTCACTCTCACTTGACGTCCCGTAATTCTTCACACTGGGTTATGTTCAGGAACAGCTGGGGTATTTCTCCGAGATTTAAACAGTGTCATCGTTCGGTCTATCCAGTGCTTATGTGCGCCTGATGGTGCCGTGCCACAGGCGAAATTCTCAGCACTATGCAAAGAAGTGACAATCTCGTCCAAGTATGTGTGCACATCTGATGGTGAAGTATTCGGAAGAGACTCTAGAAGACTATTTCTGTAAGTTTGTCTAACATCCGGATCTGTGGGTCTCCCAGTTGCCAAGCGATTCGTCCGCACCTTACGCGACCCAGGGAGACGTAGGGACTCCGGACGAGTGCGTGGTCAGAATCCACGAATGTGTTCCAAAACGACCGGCAGTCAGTTATCGATCCGCACCATCGGTAGCCGATGGCAACGTGATCGATTTGAGTTTGTGGCCGGTATGCTATTGGAGGACACTATGTGGCCAGACGACCTCGGCTATTTCGGAAGTACTGCATAAAACAGCCTGCGATCAGCACACAGCTGAAATAGTCGTTCACCATTGTCCAATCCATGTCGACCTCCTAATTGAGTCTCAGATACACTAAGCCTGCCCACTTGTGCATTCATATCTCCAGTAATTACCACGATGTCTGAGCTTTTAGCTCGCCGCAGCAGAGCATTCAGAGCGTCGCGAAACCTCTCTCAGACGGAACGGAGCTAGTCAGTTGGATCATAAGCGGACACGACAAACAGACAGCGATCAGCTTCCTGCTTGTGAGACTCCTTCACACACGTTGCCAGACGAATCGCAAAGAGGCGACTATCAACAGGTACCCAGTCAAGCAAGGATACTTCCGCACGGTGACTTAGGACGATACCAACCCCTGCACATCCCGCCGCAGCAGCCTCTGGATCACCAGAGGTGCGCAGTCGGAAGCGAGTGGAGACCGACGGAGTGGTTAGCTCAATCTTGCATCTCGAACTCTCGTTTCTGAGACAGCGCACATCAATGCCAAGCGAGTCCAGTGTGAGTGCAAGAGCAGCTTGTTGTCCTGCTTGCTTCAGAGTGCGGGGGCGCAGAGCCTCATTCTCGCCTGAATTCTGACGGTTGGTAGGACGTATTGTATGCTCGACCAGGAGTACCTGTCCCAACTTTGAATAATTTTAGTATTGTTCGTGATTAAGTGGTTAGATCTAGTTAGCTGTGCAGTTCCACATACATACGGCGATTAACTGCACGTTTACGGGATACTCCTACAGATGTAGTCAAACGAACCATAGTGAGGGGACCATCCGCGGATAACCATTCAATCAGACCTTTCAGTTAGGCGGCTTAGAATGCCAGATGTCGTTCAGCTGTTGCAACCTTTCGGTGCCCAACTGCCGTGCCACCCGTAGGTTGCACGAGGGCCGGGATACTGCCGGGTTGCCCAAGCCCAGACAGGGGAAGTCGAGAGGCAGATGTCGGGTTCGAACCACGGGCCTTACGGTCAGTAAACTCGCACTCTAACCACTTGGGCCATCACGCCCCTTAGAGTGCCAACCCGGCAAGAACCAGCCGCAGCAGCTCCTGGCTTATTAGAAGTGCACGGCCAGAAGCGAGCAGAAACCGATGGGGAGATCAGTCCCACAACCGTACTTGGGTTTCAACCCTTGTTCCAGAGAGACAGTACACGACCAATTCAAAGTGAGTCCAGGATACGTGCAAGAGCAGTCTGTCCGGCTTGTTTCAGAGTAGGAACGTTAGACGTTGTCGGAAGAAGTCAACGTCGAGGTCTGAACAATGATTTCGAAGTGTTTGCGGTCGCGGCAGCCGAGTCAACCGTGGATATTGCAGCTAACAGCAACCGGCCTCAACAGACCTGAATCCTTCAGAATGGGTTTACGCGAATGCCGCTGGCGACGGTGCGAGGCAACGAATATGTGAAAGAGAAAGAAGGGGACGTCAGGAGCAGTCTGCTTTCATTTACTCGCCCTACTGTACGCAGCAAGTAAGGTTACTCGGTTGATGGGACCGTGCGACGGCTGGTATGACATGAGATTACTCGTAGATGTGCAATTCACGGTTGTGATTTGGGATATTGCCAAGGCGTCCAGACCTTGACAGGAGGACAACTAGAACCCTCAACCAAAGGCAAACGCACGGGAGCGATCGTTGGCCTAAAGCTGTCAAAGAAACCTAAATTTTTAGAAAGTCAATGCATATGTCCCAAGCTCCAATATGGAATGTTAGGGGAGTGTGTTGGTCAGACCTCTACCCATTGACCAACCCAGTATGAAGGGCTCCGTGAGTGTCTTATGTACAATGCCCCAGTATAGCTCAATGGGTTATGTCGGTGCATACGCCATCACACTACAGTAAGGTCGTCCGTTCGTGATGAGAACAGTAGAGATAACGCGGCTGGCCTAGAACCACAGACCATCTAGCCAATCATACAACCATAACAATGGTCTCGCGCCTTAAGCGCTGTGCTATCTCGAGCTCCGTTCGAACTAGTCCTTCCAACAATCTGCTGGATGTCAGAGAATCATGGTGGTCATCGATAATTTCACTGAAGAGACTTTCGATGGCTTGTCAAAGCAAACGAAACAACTTACTAACACTACCAGGTAGAATGCTGTCCCTAAGCGGCCTTATAAAATGCAGTATGATTGTGTCACTGAAAGGAAGACGGTATCGCGCCAACTCGGCTATGGTGCTTAGCAAACTAGTTATTGAAGTTTGACTAAACTAAGTGCCGTCCTAACATGGGCATTTGTCCGGTGCCATACCCACATGAGTTCCTGTTTGCCTTTCGTCCGCCATCCAGAGAACGGCAGAAACCACGGAATTCTCTCAAGGTCCGGTCAAGAGGGTCAGGGTGTCCACGACCTGAAGGATACTGGGAGATTATGACGAGCACCGAAATTGTAAACACTATGATCTTGTCCCCCGACTACACGCTAGAATCTCTCAGAGTATGTTCAGAATCGCTCCAGGGAACCTATTACAAACTGACTGAACACAATAACCTCAGGTTTATCAGACCATTGGGTACACATTTTCCCCACCCATGAGAGAGTCCGATTCTTGAAGCCAACAAACGAAACACTGCTTTGTATGAGATAAATTAATGTCTCGGTATTGACTTCCAATTCATAACTCTGGCGACAGAAGCGAGACTTTCATCTATGACGCCCCTCCCCATAAAGTGGACTGGGGAGACTCGCTTTCTGGAGTTGTGCGGCTGTCAGTTCGGTTTAAGTAGACCCTCTACGCTAGTAAAATGACTTATATACAGACCACACTGTTCACCCAAAATATCTATCAGGAAATCATGGTAAACAACTTCAATCGGAGCAGCGAGTCCAGCGGAACCCTGATCCCAGACATTTTCCAACTCGATCGATACGTGTTCCCCTTCCCGTCCATCATTAAAGCACACACTGCTCACCTCAAATGGTCACATTATAGGATGTAAAGGATACGAAAGGAGCCATTTAAACAGAAAACAAAACTGTCGATTGCGTTAACTAACCTTTATCCTTATTCGCCGCAGTATAGCTGTATCCAGGAGCCTGACCGGTCTTTCGGCCGAAAAGGCCATTGAGATTTGGCCCAGTCTTGTGCGACCCACCTTTTTCGACCGTATGGCATTGTGCACACCTCTGCACAAATAGCTTTTTGCCTTTCTCGGAGTCACCCTCGGGTACAGTCATGCTCACGGTGGAGGCGCCGTTTAGTTGGGCCTCAAGGTCAGTTCACTACTTCGATTTAGAATCTGAGCTGTGAATGACGAGCAACTTTGTGTGGATGGTGAGGAATAGTCCGCCGGTAACATTGCTGGTAATGTTTTCATTAATTCTCTTTAAAATATTGCACCCAATTTTACATTCTTCCTTTGGTTGCAGTATTTTTCCTTTATTTCGCAATTTGTCTTTTTTAACCTCAATATCTGAAGTCCTTGTGGGTACGGCGGTTTAACACGCATGAGGCACAAGCAGTTTTTTTATATTTGTGGTGTAGCTGTAAAAATTTAGGAGGGAGGCGTAGTTATTTAACGATTGGGTGGGGCATACCGTCTTGGAGATTTAATGGTGAGAGACGAGCTGTAAAAAGAATTTTGGGGATAGAGTTTCAATCTGAATGTATGTTTCAGTGGAGTTAAAACACACAGGGATACTATATCAGATATCTGTGGCGTGAAAAAGTGGAGAAAACCTATGTTGCACCCACCGCTTTAGCGGAAGAGATACTTCTTCAGTTTCACGTGCGCATACTTAATGCTGGAGTGGTGGGGTGTTAGGGTTGGCTACAGATACCGAAGCCGGGGTTACATGTTTGGGGGTAATAGAGGTCTCCATGCTATGTGGGTGTATGCATTTAGAGGCCAATGAAGTGGTTGGCGTGATTAAGCTGCAACGATAAATGTCATAGCATGAAGAGTATGAGGAAGCCACGGAAGCTTTGGAGATGGCTACGGCGAATGAGGCTGAGGTTCACATCAGGTGACCAGGGGAGCTGTAGTGGATGTGGTAGTGAAGTCTTCTGAGAAAAAGCGTCCGCTGTTTCTGTCTTCAGATGCACCGATACCGCCCGCATTTCGCGATCGCCCGAAAGACTTATCATATAGGCGTCTGCCATCTAATGAGCCGGTGCAATTCATTTGGTTGGCCTGGAGATTGATGACATGTTCAGTCTGGCAAAGTATGACGTCCGGAGCCGACGGATATCTTTACCTGACATCTTTCGTCTTTAGCTTTTATCAAGTTATCAAGATTGCATGGGATGAGGTTGTAGTGGCAGAATATTGTAGCGTCCTAATCACCCACACACTTGACTGTTCAGCCCGCAGTCGCTCACTGGATCACGAGACTTGTCTCTTATTCATGGCCACAGCCACGTCACATTAAGGTGACTCACCAGACGTCCATTGTCTGCACCGTCTAGTGAACGTACCAACCACTCACGTGCCGACGCGCCCACGTACGGGAAAACGGACCTACATATAGGGAAACCGAACGCACGAACGCAATCAGCACACACAGACACGCGCGCGCAGGGAGCAAAGAGTCAGCCAAACACTCAAAGTCCACGGACAATCATGGAGTACGTGTGGCAGCCACACTGCGGAAACAAACACGTTCCTGCCGTCCGGACTTTTACCAAGGGACTCTCACATATGATAAGTTCCTTTTTTTGACTTGCTCCCATTTCGGACTGTATTTATTTTTATACGTGTTGCAGCTCTCCAGTGTCCATCATACCAAAAACTTTTATAAGTGCATACACCTGAGTTGTGTTATGGCTATCAAGCTATGTGCACTAACAATATAATACAGCATAACGTACTCCGTAGGCTACTGGCGTTGCCATTATGCTAGCTATGGGCTGCCGCCCTCCGAGGGGCGGGATTTTGGCTGGTTTCGGGTGCCAGTTATCCGCACAATGCCTTCAGCTGCAAAGCCTTTAAAAGTGGAGTGAAACGTCCTAAGCTAAAATGTTGTATTTTGTCGCATATATGATCAAGCCGAAGACTGTTCTAATCAAATTTCATATTTTTGCAGCTCATTAAATTTCATTGTTCACTGAAGCGCCCATACCCCGAAATGTTTTGTGGGATANTACTTCTTCAGTTTCACGTGCGCATACTTAATGCTGGAGTGGTGGGGTGTTAGGGTTGGCTACAGATACCGAAGCCGGGGTTACATGTTTGGGGGTAATAGAGGTCTCCATGCTATGTGGGTGTATGCATTTAGAGGCCAATGAAGTGGTTGGCGTGATTAAGCTGCAACGATAAATGTCATAGCATGAAGAGTATGAGGAAGCCACGGAAGCTTTGGAGATGGCTACGGCGAATGAGGCTGAGGTTCACATCAGGTGACCAGGGGAGCTGTAGTGGATGTGGTAGTGAAGTCTTCTGAGAAAAAGCGTCCGCTGTTTCTGTCTTCAGATGCACCGATACCGCCCGCATTTCGCGATCGCCCGAAAGACTTATCATATAGGCGTCTGCCATCTAATGAGCCGGTGCAATTCATTTGGTTGGCCTGGAGATTGATGACATGTTCAGTCTGGCAAAGTATGACGTCCGGAGCCGACGGATATCTTTACCTGACATCTTTCGTCTTTAGCTTTTATCAAGTTATCAAGATTGCATGGGATGAGGTTGTAGTGGCAGAATATTGTAGCGTCCTAATCACCCACACACTTGACTGTTCAGCCCGCAGTCGCTCACTGGATCACGAGACTTGTCTCTTATTCATGGCCACAACCACGTCACATTAAGGTGACTCACCAGACGTCCATTGTCTGCACCGTCTAGTGAACGTACCAACCACTCACGTGCCGACGCGCCCACGTACGGGAAAACGGACCTACATACAGGGAAACCGAACGCAATCAGCACACACAGACACGCGCGCGCAGGGAGCAAAGAGTCAGCCAAACACTCAAAGTCCACGGACAATCATGGAGTACGTGTGGCAGCCACACTGCGGAAACAAACAAGTTCCTGCCGTCCGAACTTTTACCAAGGGACTCTCACATATGATAAGTTCCTTTTTTTGACTTGCTCCCATTTCGGACTGTATTTATTTTTATACGTGTTGCAGCTCTCCAGTGTCCGTCCATCATAAAACTTTTATAAGTGCATACACCTGAGTTGTGTTATGGCTATCAAGCTATGTGCACTAATAATATAATACAGCATAACGTACTCCGTAGGCTACTGGCGTTGCCATTATGCTAGCTATGGGCTGCCGCCCTCCGAGGGGCGGGATTTTGGCTGGTTTCGGGTGCCAGTTATCCGCACAATGCCTTCAGCTGCAAAGCCTTCAAAAAGTGGAGTGAAAGAAACGCCCACGTACGGGAAAACGGACCTACATACAGGGAAACCGAACGCAATCAGCACACACAGACACGCGCGCGCAGGGAGCAAAGAGTCAGCCAAACACTCAAAGTCCACGGACAATCATGGAGTACGTGTGGCAGCCACACTGCGGAAACAAACACGTTCCTGCCGTCCGGACTTTTACCAAGGGACTCTCACATATGATAAGTTCCTTTTTTTGACTTGCTCCCATTTCGGACTGTATTTATTTTTATACGTGTTGCAGCTCTCCAGTGTCCATCATACCAAAAACTTTTATAAGTGCATACACCTGAGTTGTGTTATGGCTATCAAGCTATGTGCACTAATAATATAATACAGCATAACGTACTCCGTAGGCTACTGGCGTTGCCATTATGCTAGCTATGGGCTGCCGCCCTCCGAGGGGCGGGATTTTGGCTGGTTTCGGGTGCCAGTTATCCGCACAATGCCTTCAGCTGCAAAGCCTTTAAAAGTGGAGTGAAACGTCCTAAGCTAAAATGTTGTATTTTGTCGCATATATGATCAAGCCGAAGACTGTTCTAATCAAATTTCATATTTTTGCAGCTCATTAAATTTCATTGTTCACTGAAGCGCCCATACCCCGAAATGTTTTGTGGGATAATTTTCCAGCATATCTGAGACCCTAGGATGCCTAAATGAGGCTTAAAATTTCGGACTTTTACCCCCTATTCAGTTCATCGAGGACACGTCATAACTTTCGAAAATTTTATTCCATTATGAGAATACTGAGCGCCCGGGTCTCGTTGAAAGTATCTCAAGTATTTAGATGGCGCCTTTTGCGTTTTTTCTGGCATGGCTTATCGTGTCGGTCTGTTTTCGTATGTCCAGCTGGCGGATTTCTGGTTTGTAGCGGCTTTGTGTCTCGTGAAACGCCGGCTCTTCTTCTGAGTTTCTCGTAATTGTCACCCAAAAGATATCTGGGACCCTAGATATGTGAAACCACCGAGAGGAAAATAGTTATAAAAGGTCGAATTTGGGCCTAAGAGCATAGAAGTAAGCATTCTACCACAGGTATGTCCAGCGGATTTCTGGTTTGTAGCGGCTTTGTGTCTCGTGAAACGCCGGCTCTTCTTCTGAGTTTCTCGTAATTGTCACCCAAAAGATATCTGGGACCCTAGATATGTGAAACCACCGAGAGGAAAATAGTTATAAAAGGTCGAATTTGGGCCTAAGAGCATAGAAGTAAGCATTCTACCACAGGCGCTCAGTGGTTCTGAGGAGTGTGAATAGTCGTTGGTCAGGATTACTGAGGCAGGAAATTGCTGCAAGCGCTGACGACTAGATTGTCATTAGGAGAATTTATTAGCGAAGCAAGTGAACAGTAAAAAATGATGGGAGGCTCCATGGAGTTCTGGCGCAAGTTGAGCGGAGTGTGTCGGGATTGTGGGCTTATGTAAGACATCTAGTCGTCAAATAGCAGGGATATGGTGAACCACCTGCAAGTTATTTGGATGGGTATGGCAGTTGCAGTACCGTCATCTTGACGTCATGCTTGAGGGAACGAGATCTGTATGGAACAAGGGTATCTGCGGGTCCGTCGAGGGCGCGTGCGGTTTGTAATGAGCATTCAGGCGAGACAATAAGACGGTGGCATCTAAATTTAGGACTCGAAATGTGTGTGGCAAGTGGTTGCTAATAACTCTAGGGTGGTGGGTGGACTGCGGAATAAGATAGCGGGATTTTAAGTGGGTACAGTTTTCAGCTGTTGTAGTGATGAGCATTGCCATATGTTGAATAAATTAAGTGACATCTGGGTGTAATCATATGTGAATATGGAGTGCTTAATTAGCTCGATAACGTACCGCTTAAGTCGTAGTTGTGTGGTCGACCATGAGGCCGGGCAGGATTGACATCGAGCGGACCGAACGGAACATTATAGTTAATGTGCACACGCCTTTGTAGCCAGTTCATTTGAAGTTAGGCCAGGTATATTGGGAAGCAAACAAGGTCACACTAAATGCGTCAGAAATACAATCAAAGGCAGTTGCTGAAACGGTTGAGTGACGATCACTCAGGGAGTGGACGGG